TTTGAGGCCATAATGCTCATCAGTTATTAATTAGAAATTCATTTCACTGAATAAATAATGCTCATGATTGATGATGAAACTTGTAATTAGGTTCTCGGAGTAATGCACTAGGGAGAAAGCCTTTACACTTGAATCCAGGCTATTAAATACTGCTCATTTAAGGGACCGCAATACCTCTTGTCATAAACCTGCAGCTACTATGGCAGCATCTGGATTCAGGGAGCAGGAACATTAGTTTTAATTCACATAGGTTATGTTACACTACCTGCATCAACACCAACTAATGATCTTTCATGCTACTAAGTCCTTTTGTTGTACAATACTAAACGAATAGTTCCCAAGCATCACGTTAGAGTAACAATAACCTGCTGTCTAGTGTGAATACTATGTTAAAAAAGTTGTGTGAGTCCTTCCATCATGTAGTCTACAGTCTTTTTAAATGACGAGAGAGAACTGTGAAAACTCAGCTTGTCTATGGCTCACTATTGATTCCACACAAAAGACACAACCATTGTTGATAGCCTTTTTGATATATTTTCTTGCAGCCACCAACCCCTTTGTGGAAAATAAACCAGTCAATATACACCTATTAGGATTTCTTGATCTGAGCCTATAAAGCGTTTCTCCTGCTCGTTGTGTCATAATAGCACAGAGACCAAAAGCTATGACTTTTGGAGGACAAACCATCAACACTTTAATGGCCTGCAGTAATATTCAAGTTTTGGGCCGATTAACCCTGCTGACCAGCAGAACAGAGAAAGGTGCACCATGTGCCCCTCAACTACAGGAAAAAAAAAGGAAAGAAAACAGCTGATGGCGTAGCCTCATCAAGCAAAAATACTGTAATTGGTGCTTTTCACCTGTCATTGGGGTGGGAGTGAGAAATGGTAACCTACCCTTCTCCCCCCTTTTGTTAACCAGTATCTGCTCTATTAGCAGTTTATAATGGAGATCAAGAAGTAGTCAGTGGAGAATGAAGACAACTGTCTGCACCCATTCCTAATTGGCTTTATGTTCTGTTTCTGATAAATAACTCACACCGACTATAGAGTCCCGTGGATTTTGTTGCCCTAATAGGGCTCGGTAACTGGATTTACTAACAGATAGTGGGTCAAAAAGGACATAGAGAGCAAAAATGTTAATTAATATCAATAATGGCCAATTATTATTTTGACAGAAGGATCCAAGCTAGCTGTGTGCTCTAATGACTCTGAGCTAACTTGAAGGGAAACACTGGTGAATTAGCATAACTGTGTATGCACACTCCATGGAGGTGCCCAGCAAACATCTGTTATGTTAGAAATTCAAATAGAATTCCTATTAGTAACCCTGGCTGTGGTTGCATAATCAGTCATTCTTCTCTGGCCATTTTGGAGGCGCTAACAATGCCCCTGTGACTGGTGGAACTCCTCCCTCTGGGCTTTCCAATCAAATTTGGCCCCATGTGGACCGGGTCCTAACAACAGACGAGGCAGCGTGGACTTGTGTGGGGAGCTTTGTGCTCTGACAGGAGCTCAATCCACCCATGACACATGACCCAAGAAAGGAAAACTGTTATTTATTGGAATATAGCAGATTCAAGTTAAGGAATTAATGTTAGCTTTTTGACCTCCTGGGATATATCTGCATATTTTCCTATACACTGTGTTTTTACTCACACACATATTATATTTGCATGAATTTTACTGTTAGAAGGATGAATTCTGCTTTAATATTGAATAAACAGGCAGTAAGTTGCTAAGGTGGAATTTATTAAATGATACTGAGAGCAGCTTCTCTGGGATATTGAAAATTTAATATATTCTGCTAAGGAATTGATTTTCTATCTGAAGCAAATAATTAATTCCCATAAGGAGGAGTACGTTATCTCTATCTTATGGGAATTAAACTGCATATTACTGTAATATATGGATGGTAGCGGGAATTTTGTGCTTATAGTTTAAGCCTGTCTTTGTATTCAATAGCAGCTGTTATGAGAATTATGGAATCAAAACCAATAAAGATCAAAGATCGAAGCTTAATATTGGAATTAAATGACAACCAACAAAGAAGAATTACAGTAATCATATGGATTTTATTGTTTTCTCTTGTAAGTCTGCTACAGTGAAAATAAATAGCAATCTGTTAAAATCAGTTTCAATGTACTGCTTTACAATGAAATCACTTTCTGTGTTATTTATTTATTTTTACTTATATTTTTATGCATTTGTTATGCATGGAATTTTAAAATTTTGTAGAAACTCCCATAAATTTCAGTTTAAAAAATAGATAATGTACTGGCAGAAAATTATGTATAATGCTATGTTATACTCTAGTTGAAAGAGTGGACTATTCAGTACAACATTTATCGCTTTAATATATCAGTTATTCAGTTACCTTCTTCTTCAACCAATCCATATTCAAAAATCAAAAGCACCATGATTAGTTCAATCTATTGATTTTAGTATACCTATTGTACTTCTTAGTTTGAAATAGCTTTTCATTCATATGCTCCTGTTGTGTTGGACATTCACTATGAGCCTGCATTATCCTACGCTTTATCTTTGTCACCCATTGTGGTTGCTGGATGTGTAAGGGAAAAGGTTGTAATTACTTACGCTTAAGGGTGTAAATTCTTTATATGTCAGGGACATTTTTATCCAACCTTAAATTACCAGCCTCCTTGACAAGATTTGGAACCCTGTTTTGTGCCAGGGTTAATGTCACTGCATTAATGTTTAAAGTAATATTACCCGTCGCTAACTGCGAAATAGTGTGACTGCTGTCATCATCTACAACTCGGTGTGACCTTCTCCTGTATAATCTGAGCATGTAATTCCCTCCAGTGTAATGTCATGTTGGATCAGAGGAGGTACCAGTGTCCTGATCTGAGCAGCACACAGCAGGAGGTGTGGAGAGTCAAATGGACAACCAGAGGTTCCCCTTAAGGGCAAAACTGATGTTGTCTGCATATTCTCCCTTCACTGCGGTGGCCTTTGTGGGGTGAGTTCATAGATCTAAAAATAACTGGGATCAGTTATTGCTTGTGTGCTAAATGAAAGTGCATAATCTGATTTTTAAAATTTTTTTTTTATTTGAGTAGTTACTTGAAATTACTCCAAAGAGGGGATTTACATATTTTTTGTTTCAATTTCTGAACATTTAAGTTCAATGATTTTTTTTATTTGCTTAGCCGTAGTTTTTTTTTCATATTTGAATTAATATCTGACTCCTAAATGAATGTCTGTTTGTTGCTAAAAACAACATATGTTTGGTGCACAGTGCTGCATCCAACAGATTTGGGTACAGTATACATGACTGGGTGACTCCATGGTTGTATATATGAAATAGCTTCAGCTTTACGCTCCTCTCCATTCCACGGCCTCGGGTGTATAAATTTACTTGATGGTTTTCGTTTCTCTTTCTTAATTCATTGCAGTCGGATTCCTCTTTGATGCAGTTCTGTTGTCCCCCAAACAATTGAAGTGGAGACAATGGAGGCATAATGATAGATCCGTGTACCCACCATCTGTAAGAGCAGCTGCTCCCTTGCATCTGTACAATATGCTGGAGCGGGGAGCCTCAGTAATCTGCATAATAAGGAGAGGGCTTATCTCAGTCTAGTTAATAATCACAAGCAATCGATGCACTTCATTCCCTCACTCTTGACTGATGAAAAAAAGCTGCAAAGTTTTGGTATGTTTGCTGTATCCTCAAGATAGGCAGGGGTCACGGAGTAATGCCAAGCTGTTGATTTTGCCTGCAGCTAGAGATTTAGTCTGCACTCACTTTCATCTTTTCATGAATACCATAATTACAGCAGGACATTCTGAGTTATCATACTGCATCTTCCCTCCTCAGTCCCTTATAGGGTTTGTAGCATTTGTAGCAATGCTGGAGCCCACATCAGATTTGGGTGTATGATTGTAAGTCTGCGATAAATACATAGCTTGTGAAGTGTTGATGAGAGTCATTCTGCAACAGCAGTACTCTTAAAGCAGAAGATTGTCCTTGTAAAACACTAAAAATTCATTTGGAAATTTCACCTGTCTGAAATGGCTTCTTAGATATTACTACCTCTGTGCATGTTGCCACAGACACAACTACAGCAAGTGATATTCCACAGGGCATAAAATCTCAGCTCAAGGATATGTTCGTATCTTGAATTCAGAACAGATAAACAACCTTTGTATACTGAATCTCCTCTATTTTCACCTTTTCTAACTTATCAGCTCTGTGCAGATCAGCACAAATATGGCTGTGAATTCTTAAATTTTATTGGAATAAGTGCTTCAAAAACAGCACTATATAAACTACAGGAAATAAAAACAATTCTTATAGTTCCTATTATTCAGCTGGAGGATTTGAAAGTCAATTTTGGCTTGTTGACACTCAAAGAGTGAACAATCTATCCATTGAGCAGGCTTTTTCCCATATATGACATTGGAAAAGTCTCCATGAAATTTAATAAATACCCCCTATTCATTACTCTTGGTAATGGCTCCTAAGCAGGCACCAAATTGATTGGCCAGAAAATATGCAATAGTATCGATCAACAAAGTCTCCCCTTGGTATTCTCTTTTTAAATATGCTCAAATGTGCTCATTAAATTAAGTCTTTTTAATACTCTGCAGTGTGAATAAAATTGAATACACAAAATATGAATATGCTTTAAATCCTTCATGGTTGTTTAAAATAATAGTGGAAAAGGTGGCGATTGAGAGAGGAATACTACATACAAAAGGACAAAAAATAAGGAAAAAACATTGTTTTAAGTTTGTAGGCAAATGTGTTACCAGAGCACTTTCATTGTGCCATAGCATTGATGCTACAAGTCGTTTGAGCTTTGCTTGTGGGAAGAAACTTGAATAGTCCAACTGTTATTCCCTTATGTGGTGAGGTGCAATGCCTAATACGCTGGTCCTCTACAGGTGATCAGTTGGACAGAGGTCACAACAGCCCCAAAATTTTATTCTCATTGTTCTTAAATCATTTGGTAACCCCCTATGTCCTGTGTATAGGAGCATTGTCATCTTGGATGATACCACTCCAATCAAGATAGAAATCATTCATCCCAGGATAAAGACGATCCATGAAAACAACTTTCTATTGATTTGCAGTGCCTCTTTTCTCAACAAGGGAGGGTGAGTGTCATTCCAGCAAAATGCTCCCCATTGCACTTCAAATTGTTAAGAGTATATATAAGATGCATAAAAAAATTGCCTCCTCCCATGGTTCCTCGATCCTCCTAATTAAGCATGCATGATGTTTCTCTCCCAGCTGCTAGACTGCTGAAATGCACTAGGCAGGTGTATTAAGCCCCCCCAGTGAGGCTCGAGAATGAAACTGGTATATGTAGAAGTGCAGGTGTGACATGTTAGGAGGAGTCCAGGTGCTTATTGAGTTATCAGAGGCAGCCGCCGCACGTTTGATTTATCATCTGGGGCTTGGCAATGCCATGTCTGAGCTTCAATAAATCAGATAACGAAATAAAATGTTCTGAAAATTACCTTCCGGGGCGCCGCAATCGTGATAACTTACATCTAGCACAGAGTTGGATATAGTGTAGCACCTACTGACAGTGCTTATTGAACCTGTATATTGACTCCATACACTAAATCATGAATGCAAAGGTTTTAGCCAGACTGAAGATTCACCTTGAATTCACCCTTTAAGTGTTAGGATTTGTCACTGATTTGTGGTTTCTTTTTTGTTTGTTACAGCAAAGCTACACTGGGATACAGGTGTCATTAAAAATACATTAAGACGATCAGATTATGTTTGAAGATCTCGTAAACTTGCCCTCAGGACCTCGTAATACAATGTTTACTCTTTGACATGAATGCCATGCTTACCTCTGCATTCTTGAAAGCTTTAAACTCAGAATGAGCCAGCCAGTCTCCATGAGCACATAAAAGGTACCCAGATTTATGGGGAGGTTTTTATCCTAGACTCAGGCACCATCTGATAAACCACCACTCTTTGCTTGAGGCTAAATAATACTCTTTGAGGTCCTGATTTACAATGCTGTGAAGGATCCATTTGTGGTTCAGCTCTGAGGCATGCAACTCTTTGATTGGTCATCCGTAAGCTCAAAATTTGGCCTCAGATCTGCAGCTCACGAGCTTGAGGATTCCTAAATGGACAAATGCATAAATGATGGTAGGTTTTTATTCAGAGTTAATAGATGAAGAGAAATGAACTTTCCAGAGATGTAAAAGGCTCTTAGATTTAACAAAATCCTCCTCAACTCCCTCTGATTGAGGCTAAGACTGTGGCAGCATGCAACCAATCTATTCGGAGCTTTTTAAAAGCAAACTCATTGGGGTATTGGTCTAGTACATAGACTCCTAAGAGATCTGATTAAAGGGAAATCCCTCAATGTTTTACCCTCACCTTCTCCATAATAAATCAGTTGCACATTGCAAATGCCTAAATTCATCTTACTGTGCCTGGCTTGACATTAGGAAGAAAGTCTCCAGTATCAGTGCTCAGAAATACTAATCGTAATTTAGCCCACATTTTTCCATAACTCGAATTGTAGATTTTACGTTGACAAAAAAAAAGGCACTTTATGTTGGGCCATTGTGACCTTCGAGACCTTAACAGGCACTGATACTTTGATACTTTACATCATCTGCAGAGTAAAAAAACATTTCCTCAACATTTTTTTCATTAGATAGTAATCAACTTGCAAACATTGCCACATAACGCATAGAAGAACAGACACAAGATTGTGTGTTGACAAGTGCTTGTGCATTACAGACTTCTGTAGTTTAGAAACTGTGAATTAATTCAGAGTGAATTAATTTCATTTGAAAAATCTATAATAATAATATCACAAATCATTTAAATAATTACATTTACTTAAAAAGAAGACACAATATTAGGTAACAACTTTTGCTTTTACATTTTAATTAAATAAACAGTTTAACTGCAAATGAAGTTTTGTCTAAACAAATTTCACAAAGGCCCAACCTGTTACTCTCTTAGCCTGAACAGGCCCTAACATTAAAACATTTTACTCGCCAAGATATTTTGAAATTAAATGTGTCTAAACCCTCCCATACCTGCCTTAGTGACCTGCAGCTGTTACACGTCACCAAAAGCAGCAGCAACCTTGACTCGTTTTACAAAAATGAAAACGCTGTCACTGTAGTTCGAACAAATCAAATTTAACTCGTGTTTTTTTTTCTTTATTTGATGCTTAGGGGGTTGTGAGAGGGTCATGACATTGTTTGGTGATATTTTGACACATTAATTGGACTAAGGGCTTTTCGTCACAGCTGTTGGGAAATTAAGAGGAGATTGAAAGCCCCTGATGTCTTGTAATTACTGTTTCATGTTGTGTAGCCACACTTACCAGAAGCCATGCTTTCTGATGAATGGGCAGTAAAAGCAACAATAGAGTGTCTATAATGCAAAGGATTTGATCTGGAAATGAGTGCTTTTTGTATCAAAAATTAAGGTCAAGAAAAAAGAAGAAATTTAGTTTGTGTCACGTACAAATGAATGCAAAGTTATATTTTTATGCTCCGAATAAGCAGCGGTAATGTCAGTAAAATTACGTGGTTAAATCTGGCGTGACCACAATCAAGTATTAGCACAATTAACTACACAATTTTGGCAGTGTAATCGCATGCTTGGCAAAGGAAATGTTCCACCCAGTGTGTTTCAGGCCATGCTCCACAGAGAAGGAGCGGCATTCAAAACAAACCGCTGTCCCTGATATCAGCTGGTTAATCCTCTCCTTTTAGTGGCTTTATTGGTTCATTCAAGAGAGTCTGTTGACATTCCCCCTGCCCTGTTAAAAGGCGACTGCATCTCAAGTGAAATCTGGAGTGTTCTTTACACAGGCGGGGAGCCCCATGTGGCTCCTGCCTCCCAGTGGGCCCGTGATTTTCCTGCTTTAAGTGTCTACTGTCAACACTAATTTGTCCCACTCCTCCTCCGCCCCCCTCCAGAGAGGGACGCTCTCCTAAAGTTTTAATAAAAGATCAGCTATAACTCCCTGTTTTCTGGGCGTGAGACAAGAGCTTTAAAAGCCACAGAGGCAATAAGATGCCAGGTAATGATTACAAGGCTTGAACAGAAGCAGTTACCAATACCACATACTGTTTTACACAGCACACTGCAAGTGTGTGGTACAGCTTAAGGCTGTCTCCTTTACAGGGTTCATCTACAAATCAGTGATGGAGGCTCAGCGTTATATTATCGGACTTGTAGTTTTTTTTTGTTTTTTTGTTTTTAAGGACTACACTGTAATTAAATGACATTGATAAAAAACTTAAACATGGTTTAAAATGCTTAGCGTTGGGTGTGTAGTGGGATGTCTTCCAAACAAAAAATCTTAATCTCAGTGGCATGCCACTTAAATAATTTTTCCACTTACAATGATCTCAGAAACCAATTCTCCTGTGATGTTTATGTAAGAACTTTGTTTAAAAAATTTTTCCCTTCATTTACTCTGCGTGACTGCACGTGTTTCTCAACACTGTTTACGGCCTAATACAGACTGAAAATGTGTTGTAGCCCAGTAAATCCCTTTGTGCGTTTTCATTTATCCATTTTTCCTCAGGATTAATAAGAGCAACATGATTGCAAATAATAGTTTCTGACATGTTTTTCTTGAATACCATTTCAGGGCCTGATAAAATAAATTGCTCCATTTCATTTATCTGTCTTTGAAGTCTAAAGGAAAATCAATGAAAGAAGTAATTTCTCTCCTGCCATTTAACCAAATTCCCATCTACCTGAATGATAGGTCCCAGGGAAAGCAGTCAGGAGACTTTCTTTTCAATTATCCCTGACTTGTTTACAGAGTGTTTTGTTCACTGGCCTAGATGTGAACATACAAATCTCATATGGGTTTTGCTGTTATTGAGGAAGCTTAATACAATTCCACTTCGAAGGTAGGCAAGAACCATGTAGGAAATTGTTCAATATCTCAGTCGAAGCCCAATTTTCACCACATTGTTTTGTCGCACGGTGTATTGTAGTGTTATGGTAATGTAATATGCATAATTCATACACCTAGGGCCCCCCTCCTCATTTTTGATTCTGCTGTCCTGCCTGTTCATCTGAAGCTGAATTAATGCTACATTGTCCATTAGGTGGCCATAACACAGGGCAATACTGTCACACGCTGTGGTTAAACTGAAATTCCCTTGAGGCGAACGGTATTTGTTATTTATTTAATTTTTATATGCAGTCTACACAGGAATTGTTTTGCAAAACACAGCTTTTCTCATTTTGGGTCAAGACTGATACGTTTTATTCCTGGGTTGAGACAATAATTCTGCGTAGTAATTGAAAATGTTTTTCTTAGCATCCCGAGTCCCGAGAATTTTGCTTTTCTGTGTGTTATCTTTTAGCTTCTACTATTCTCAGGTGAATCAGTGGCTGTGAGAGCACAAAGAGAAAGTGTTAGATGTGGCTTGTTATCCTCTCCAGGGTTCACTTAGAGAGCCCCAGACTACTGCAGTTTTGACCTTCATAAGGCACTGTCTCCCTGCTGGGAACACACACACATACACCAAGCACATCCACTCCACAGCCGGCACTCATTGGGTCATGATGGGGCTAAGCAGCCCCATTAAAGCATGCTCATCTAGGCTGGGATCACGTGCACAAAGCATAGAGATGGACTCTGGCCAAGAGGTCTTGGTCCTATAGTAGATAGTTCCACAGCACAAGTGTGCCGCACGTAAAGTTGCAGGAAGAAGTTGCATAGCCATTAGAAACTGCAAATTAATATTATTTTTTCTATTCTGTATCTGTGTCAACTTTTCCTCAGGATACCACTCTTGTGATGTTTCAAGCTGTGCTCAGAGTATTATAAATCCATTTTTTGGACATGCTGTGGTCAGTTTAATGATCATTATGTGGCTCAGATGGAAAAACAAGGGAATAAGGTGAATCAATGATCGATTTTACTGCGTGACTTGATTCATGGCTACTGCTGTGATAAATGGCCATTGTATCGAGCTTGAGGGTAACTGTTTTGAGATAATATTTGTATGTCGTGAAAGAGACCTCATACAATAATACTTTTGGCTTTGCTTTCAGTGTTTCATTAATTGATTAGTCTCAACGGCTCATAGCATCCTATGATGCACTCTCCTGCTCAGGAGAAGATACTATG